GTGGACCAACATCAGCAGATGACATGGCTCCTCAAATCAACACAGGCTCTGGAAACTTCACACTGGACTTCAAGCATCTTGCAGTGTGTGCCTCTCCATTCTTCCTCCAGACTCTGGGTCCTGGGTTTCAAATGAGATGCAAAAGTTGCTCTCATCAGAAAAGAGGACTTTGGACCACTGAGGAACAGACCAGTTCTTTTTGTCTTTAGCCCAGGTAAGGGCTAATGCTTCTGACGTTTGTTGTTCAGGAGTGGCTTGACAAGAGGAATACAACATTTGAAACCCATGTCCAGGATCCGTCTGTGTGTGGTGGCTCTTGATGCACTGACTCCAGCCTCAGTCCACTCCTTGTGAAAGTCCCCAACACTTTTGAATGGCCTTTTCCTGACAATCCTCTCCAGGCTGCAGTCATCCCTGCTGCTTGTGCACCTTTTTCTTCTACACTTTTTCCTTCCACATAACTTTCTATTAATGTCCTTTGATACAGCACTTTGGGAACATCCAACTTCTTTTGTAATTACCTTTTGAGGCTTTCCCTCCTTATGGAGGGTGTCAATGATGGTTTTCTGCACAACTGTCAGGTCAGCAGTCTTTCCCATGATTGTGATTCCTACTGAACCAGACTGAGAGACCATTTAAAGGCTCAGGAACCCTTTGCAGGTGTTATGGCTTAATTAGCTGATTAGAGTGGGACACTTTGAGCCTAGAATATTGAACCTTTTCATAATATTCTAATTTTCTGAGATTGTGAATTTGGGGTTTTCATGAGCTGTAAGCTATAATCATCAAAATTATGACAAATCAAGGCTTGAACTATCTCGCTTTGCATGTAATGAGTCTATCTCATATATTAGTTTCACCTTTTAAGTTGCATTACTGAAATAAATGAACTTTTGCATGATATTCGAATTTTTTGAGTTTCACCTGTATACTTTTTTTTTAATCAAAAAAGAAAAACACAAAAACTCCAAAACAACTCAATCCTGTGGTCCCTTAAAAATGTCAATGTTACGTCCGGACAGCAAGCACGAGCGGCCAATAGAGCAGCCGGCAGGCAGCCGGCGGGAAATTGGTGGCTCCTGATTGGCCCAGTTTCTGACAGCTGAGTATAAAAGAGCTGTCAGTGCCTCAAAATGCCGCTCGCTCTCCAAAGTAGTTAGCTAACCAGAGCGAGTCACTGTTAGCTGTTATTTGTTAGCCAATAAACATTTGTGAAGTGTTTATCCTGCCTCGCCTCCCTTCTTTAGCCTTTGTTCCACGAATAGAACAGTCAAAATTATTATTGCAGAAGCTTTTGTGGATCATAATCTTCTTTGATCAGATATACATTTCTAGTGCTGTAGCAAAGGAGAAAGAAAGAATTAAAGATAATTAAATGATGAAATGAAAGAAGAGAAATATAATATTCTGCTGATGATTAACAAATATACGTATGCGATGTAGCGATCCTGGAATTGTTTAAACACATGCAATAAGAAATCCTTTCTCAATTTGATATTAACTCATGTTTGGGTTGAAAGAACTACTTGTAATCATTTGTCTTAAGGATGCCCTCCTTGAGATCCCCAGTGGACTTTTTGGTTATAGATCAGTGGTAGGTTGCCCCTGGTTAGGACCGGTTTGCAAGAACCAGTAGTAAAACCGGCGGGAGGCCCCACTCACCCCCCTGGCTGTCATCATCGGCGATCTGCACATGTGCAGAAGCAAGGCGTGCACCTGAGTGAAGCGAGCATGTGCACACGATCCCGTTGTGAACCAGTAGTAAAGATAAGTAGAACCCACCTCTGTTATAAACATTTCATTTTTTTTTGTTGTTTTGCACAGCAATATACCAGCTTGTCTAATGCAGTGTTTCTCAACCCTGGCAAATTTAAGATGTGTGGACAACAACTTCCAGAATTTTGTCTGGCTAGGGAATTCTGGGATTTGAGGTTGTGTGTGTGTGTGTGTGTGTGTGAAATCCAAAGTGAATTAATTTTTCCATCTTAAAAAATATTTATTTCAGTTAGCCTTATTTAGTTAATGATGTATACTGTGTGTACATTTGTATTTAATCTAATTCTTAAAATTTAACTATCAGAAAACTCATTTGTAGAATTCTCATATGTAGAAAATTGAAAGGTATAACATAATGATGGGAAGAAATCTACAACCAGGTCATATAGTGATCCATTAAATTCCATGATATCTACAAAATAAGAAGAGATGTTTTCTATATATCCACATGCTACTACCAAGATTGTTTGCAACTTATCAATTCACATTGATTTAAAACACATTATTTTGTTTAAATGGTTTTGATTTTCTGCCTAGAAGACAAAAAAGAAAATTAGTAGCTATCAGTTACTGAATTCACAGAATTGTATGCTTGCCTACTGTTGAAAGGATTTATTTTTCTGTTTATTCACAGGGTAATATTGACTTGAGAGGTAGCCATGTTAATTGCATTACCAACAAGGTATTGGATCATTTGTATGGAAGTGACCACCTGACATGGATTGATCCTTCCAGAGTGGTAAAATAAGGCAGCCACAGTGAGAACAGCTGAAGCTTCACTTCTTTTACTTCTTATGCTTGGAACAACAACTGTTTCATGATAAAGCTCAAGTTCACCAAGCTCTCCAGCTTTATAGAAAGCTTTATGCAACATACATTAGCTGAACTGCATTATTCCTAATCATGCATAGTTTTGTCATTAAGTCATTTGCATGTATGGATTGTATATCAAGTATATCAAGGTCTTTTGAGTATCAGTACTGGCTTATCTCACTTCTTCAAACCTGTCTAAAATTGGGTTGAGGCACTTTCCATTTTACTGTATCATACAACTGACTGATTATTGAGAATTCATCTCTAAATAGGTTATTGACCATGTTTCACTCTGGCTTGGCTTTCAGTAGTGCAATTGTGTGAAGTGGAAACTGAATATTATTGTGAGTGCTTTCACACAAATACACACACACACATATATAGTATTCTCAGTATATGCTACTGTATATATTATGTATGCTTAGACAAGTTTGGTACTTGTCAAAGCTGTGTTTCAGCCAAGGAATTGGGATGAAAGCAAAGCCATGAAATAAACTGGTCAGTCTATAGAGTAAGATTGACAGACCAGTGGGAAGGACAGCAGAATCTTGCAGTTATTATTTATACTCTGGCATTTTTGCAATGCTTTATAACTGCCTTTGAAAATGTTTTTGGAAAGTGCAGTTAGTTCCAAAGAGAACAGCTGTACTGCAGAGAGTAGTGGTTACAATTGTACTATGCAGCACTTTGCAATCTGTACTGGCTGACGGTTTTGAGCTCAATTCAAAGAGCTGGTTTTATTTTTGAAGGCTTAAGTGGCATACAGCCAGATTGCCTAAAACATATTTTGTCATATTTACCTACATGAATCCTGAAACACCTTTTCCAGCTGCCCCTGCAAAATGAGGCTTGGTAGTTGGCCACAAGACATAAGGCTTTTTAAAGAATATAGACACAGGATATGCTGAAATTTGTCAAGTTGTATTGGGTAAGCAAGGTTCATGTAACGAGTAAGAAAAATGACATTGATGAAAACATTGTTGCCTAGGCATTTTTGTATGTCCAGAAGGTCCGGAAAATATTCAGAAGTGGATCAAAATCTCCCTAATTTACTAAACTGTAAAAGGAGGAGACAAAAATCTTGCAGAGTTGCAAAATTCTATAATTACTGTACTGTATACAATCTCAATAAAAGCACAGTAGTTTTAGCCTTTTGATGGAGTTGATTTCATAGTCTGATCTACCTGACAGTTCAACTAACACAGAAGCCTACGTTTGCTATAAAACTGAGAAGGAAGAGCTGATGGAAATTGGTAAAGTGTACTAGGTCATCTAATCCTACTTTGGAACAAGTGTGTTCTGTGATTATAACTTCACAGCTGAATGTACTTTTCTGTATATACTTCTTAAGATATATATGGAAAGCAATTGAAAATCTAGGCACATACACATGAGAAATAAGACAGAGCAAGTACCATTATTTATCATGTAACTGGATTACTTTAAATCAATTCAGTAAACAGAATCATGCTCCAAAATTTCTAAAATTCTCAGAAAATCTTAAGACTTATGTCCCCTTAGAAATGATTTTATTATACATTCCATTATATTATCTTTAAAGATCCATTCACTTGTTTCCTAGCCATTTTTGTTCCAAATAGTTTACAAGGAGCATAACCATAGAAAATGAATGGCAAACATGGCATAAATTAGGTTTAGAAAAAAAAGTTATGGATTGTTAATGTTTCAATCCAAGGGTGTTTGCAGGAAAAAGGGGAAGAAAGAAGCAGAGATAGTAGCCATATCCATGCAATTGAAGTGTCCTGCTTATTTATCGGTTATTTGTTCATTCAATATATTGATACAAGGCCAGAATGTGTGTGTGTGTGTGTGTGTGTGTGTGTGTGTGTGTGTGTGTATGCATGTGTGACTACACAAGCATGCATCCTATGGAACAAATGGAGAAGTTCTGGATTAGTCAGGAAAAGAAATTGTGGGTAGTGAAGCAGAGACATCCTCAGCATAACATGTGACAAATAAAGGAAGAACGGGATTTTTATATCACACTCTGATGGCCATCTGGACTTTTTGACACCTCTTAACCACACTCCTTTGTTTCAATGCTATACTCTCACTTTTGTTTACAATGAATGTAAAACCCACCCAGATATTTATGGTATTTTGCATTGCTACTTTTTTCCACGTGGAAAACACAGATACTTAAGAGTGCATTCTACAGAGAACCTGTTCCAACTATTTTAGAATATTTGAATAGTCTTGCATGATCTCTCTCTTTCTTCTTTTGTGCATCATTAATGATTGCCTTGTAGAACAGAAACCTTTTTCAGTACAATAATTTTTCATATATGCAGAATAGCCCAGAGACCCTACCTTAATCAAGCTTGTTTTGAAATTGTTTACAAAATATTTAGAAACTAAAAGGAACAGATAGCAAAAAGTAATTGACAATATAACACATTATAATATCTTGTATCTTTATTTTACATTATTTATTACAATATTTAACTTTTCATGACAGGATAGTTCACAAAAATTACTTCTACAGTCAGATTGAGTTTCCTCAAGCATTCTGTAATGCAATTTTGGATATCAACCTCATCACCTACATACTTGAAAAAAAGGTGTATACATTCATCAGACATGGTACAGGAAATCACCCCAGCTGCTTGCTTGTTTGATATACATATGTATATGTATGTACATGCATGTGTTGCTCATTCCAAAAGGAGTTAGGTAGTATATCATTATTAGTTTATGGCATTGTTACATTAGCCAGGAGACCACAATATTATTGCTGAGTAGTAGTTTGGCTGCCAATTTAGCAGCTCTGCTCCTGTGCTTCTCAAGCGCACTACAGGAGAGCAAGCTAACTTCACCTTAGAAAGAAAGGTGAGCAACTCTTGCTGCAGCATTACTGAAGGCCCCCTCCCTTCTCCAGAGTTGCCTCATAAACAGGTGCCACAGCCCAGAAGGTTCAGAACTGGAGCACCAACTCATCTCTATTTAGTAGATAAAGATAAACTCCTATTTAGTAAAAGCAAATCCAAACTTTTTATGTGCTTGGCACAGCTACTACTGGTATTTATAATATAAAAACAAAGATTTCTGAAGTATGAAGGCAAATTAGATGCATTTCCAAATAAATATTATGTGATTTCATACAGATCTGGGTGTAAATATCCAGATGATCACCAATGATAAGCAAAGGGATATTGAAAAAAAATATTTTCCTGCCATTTTATTGTGATCCATATCTTGGCAACTCAAGTACAGTAGGGTTAGGTATATAGTAACTGAACTGTCCTAGTTTACATATCTGAAAGAATTGTGAAATCAATTCAGGTGCTGTTGGAATATAACTTTTGTCACCCTAAATTATTTATCATGCTGGCTAGGATTAATATACGTTTAAGTATTTTTTGGGGGGGGAGGGTTGGATTATTTTACATACCTAAAGAATAGAGCTCTAAATAAATCTCATAGATGGAAAAGGAGAAGGTAAGACAAAAGATTCGACACATCATTATGTGGATTCAGATTTCCTACTCTAGACTTATTGGATCTAGTTTTCCAAAATGCCAGTATCAGCAGACACACAAACCTAGATAAAGCTGTACTCTCTATCAATGTTATTTGGGCTTTCAAATATTACCTCTGTTTAGCAGAACATACACATTTGCAAGGAATGATGAAACAGTTATTTTAAGAGTGATATAAGTACAAACATTTACTCAGGAATTTCAATAATTTTCAGGAACTTCACCTGAAAGTAGGGAAGAGGGAGAGTGGTATTGACATTTGGCTACTTCTGACTATGTTCTTTTTGTATTCAGACATTTAATTATCCATGCAGATCACATTGCTAAACAATCTGGACTATTTCTTTCCGGGCTTGCCCTCCCACTGAAATTTGTAATTAATATTCAGCAGTCTGGAGAAATTTTAAGGGTTATCTAATTTAGGTTTAAACTTAAGGAGATTGTTCACATCTGCTTCTTTTTATCACAGTCCACCTTGCTTCCATCTGGCAGCAAGTTTTGCTTGATTAAAGAAAGAATGCAAAATGTGTGGAACTCTGGTCATAATATTTGCACATAGGTATAAGTGAGGGCGCCACATGTCACATCAGCTTTATGTACAGCTGCCTTTTGGTTCAAGAAGTGATATTATGTCTGCAATAAAGTATAACACATATCTTTTTAGCTACAATATTTATGATGGAGTAATTATATGAGCATATCTCATAATTCACTTTGGGACAATATATACTGTAGGAATCAATTTGGAAAGGCAAACTGTTTGGGTAAATAAATATTTGTGCTTTAAAAGAAATAAGAATTAACTTTCAGGGCATTTACTATAAATCCTATAAAGTAAACTGGAGTGATGCAAAGGACCTGTATGTTTTTATATATCGAAAACTATTTATAAAGATTATTAATTTCTTTTTTAATATTCTATTTAACATAATAATAGCATCCACAATGGCTACCCTTGTTGTTAGCTTAGTTTTAGTAGTTGAAATATATTTTGATTGCTCTTATGTTTTAAGGAATAGCAGAAGAGGGGACAATGGGATTTCATTCTCTCCAATGGTAATAAAGAGGTACCATATTTTTCGGACTATAAGATGCACCAAGATTTCTAAGAGGTAACCAAGAAAAAAAAAGTTTTTGCCTTCCCCGGCCCCCAGGAGTACTCTGCATGACCCAAACCCCCTGTGCATCCCATTTTTGTGAAAAGTGAACAATTTTTTTTGCAAAAACGGGGTCTGCAAAGGGTTTGGAAGGCCTGCAGAGTGCTCCTGGGGGCTGGAGAGGGCAAAAATGGGATTCATGGGGGGGTTGGGAGGCCAAAAATGGGTCCATTTTTTTTTTTGCAAAACCAGGGCCTGCAGAGGGTTTAGGAAGCGTGCAAAGTGCTCCTGAGAGCTGGGGAGGGCAAAAATGCCCGTTTTTGCGAAAAACAGGCCCATTTTTGATCTCCCAACCCCCCCACGCATCACGTTTTTGCACTCCCCAGCCCCCAGGAGCATTCTGCAGGCTTCCCAAATCCTCTGTGTGCCCCGTTTTTGCAAAAAAGGGCTCACTTTTTTGCAAAAATGGGACACGTAGGGTGGGATTTTGAGAGCCCAAAACGTGGTTGTATTTCGTGTATAAAATGCACCAACATTTCCACCTTCTTTTAGGGGGGGAGAAGTGCATCTTGTACTCTGAAAAGTATGGTAATTTTAAAAAATAGCATCCTAATGACTCTATCGGCTTCTTACAACAGAAGTAACTGATACCAATATTACTTGTCATTGCTTTCTCTCTGTGATGTTCTAAGGATACTTACAATTCTATTTTTAAAATATTTTATGCCAACCAAATATTTAAAAAGTATTGTATTGCCAAGTATTATGAGTTCTTAGATACGCTGGATCTAGAAATCCCAATAATATAGTAAATGATTATACTTAACTTGTTCATATGCTCTAGCCAATAATTCCACGAATCTTTCTTTTTAACTGCAGAAATTATGAAGGATTCAGCATTAAATGATTAGGGAAAAGACATTTACCTTTCTAACTAGGTATTGGTTAAATTTCCTCTACATTTTAGTCTCAATACACAAAATGGATGAGAATCATCTGTATGGTGTATAATCTTTTGTGAATTTAACAATGATGGAGAAGATGCTGCAGTTAGGATAACAATAAACATTTGGATTCCTTCATGACTCACTAAAACACTGAAATGATTGTTTCTTATATGTATTTCACATAATTTATGAGTCTGTGAGACTTTTATCAAACAAAAAGCTTCTTCTAGTTGCTTGCTTTATTATGAACCAGTTAGTGCAGGCTTTGTGCTCCAAGGTTTTGTGCAAATTATATTTTCAGGTCTGAGCATAAGCATGTATTTTTCTTGCTTGTGACATCCAAAGAACTTTTGGGAACTTCAGGTATATCACCAAAGACCTTTATAAAAAATAAAGATGGGTAATTATACATAAAATGAATTGAAAAAAATGCAGTAACATTATTAAAAGTTTTCCATGTAATCAGCATATCAAAAGAAAACTTCTTTTAACCAATTGACACAAAACAATCATTTAACAGTTTGCAACGTGTATTGATAAATAATTGAACGGGAGATGACTCTTAAGTTTAAAATTATCCCATATCAAAAAGGAAGTTCAAATATAAATTTAAAGAATACCATTGTTATATCCTAAGATGACTGATGCAATTAAGATAAATTATCTGAGGAAAAACTAGTTTTCCTATAGTAGTATTTTGCTTTTAAGCAATATAACCTTATAAAAGATGGCTTATTATCTTTTGTAGTTTAATCAACTGGTACTAAGATATAATAACTGTTATAAAAGATTCATGCTTATTGGTAGGCATGAATGTTTTTCTGCTGAGTTTTTCTATGAAATCAGTAAAGCTGGTGGATTTGGCAGAGATGAGACATTGACAGCCTTGATGAAAAAAAAGCCTTTGACAAATTTTATTTCTGCTTAGAAACCATTTTTGGACTTTTTGTGAGAAACTGAAAGAAATAAAAACATGATTTCAGGATTTATTTATTGGAATTATATGGGATTATGGAAATAATGTAGACAAATGTTAATCTTAAAAGTACTCTTTGAGTAAGAGTTTGAAACATTTTTACTTATATCTGTACAAAAGAAAGTTGAAGTCATTCTTTTTCTATTTTTCCTTTTTTTACTCTCTTGCACCTTTTTTCCCAAATCCTTTTTTTCTGTTTATCTTTTATCTTTCTACTTTTCTAAAACTCAATAGTTATATAAAAAAAGAAATTCAGTGAATATTGCAATCTCTTTCTACTTTTTAAAGTCATTACGATAATATAACATATACTCACTATATGTATTGCATTAAGAAATCTTCATGCTTTTTTTTTGCTAGCTGGCCCACAAGATGGCACTAAAGAGAAAAGAGACAATTTTCCGAATTTAAAAAAAAACCGAAAGACCATATTATGAATCAATTGTTAATTTCAAGCATCTTCTATTAATGTCAAACACATTATATTTTGTAACAATTCATAAAGCTAAAAGATGAAAAGACAGTGAGTTTTTGCTCTAATTGAAATACTTTTTAAAATAAGAAATTTGTATCATCGATAGTACACTGATTCAGAACCTTGATCTGATTGTGATCAAAATGAAATTCCTAATTGTATAAAGTATAATATAATATAAAGTATGAAGTAAGAATTAAAAACTGATTTTCTTTACAATAGTAATTACTAGTATTGCAATCCTGTTATGATTGGCTTAAATCAAATCCATAATTCAGCCTTTATCTAACTGATCTTTTACTCAATATATTTTAAGTTTACTATGGTTGACACAACTAAGCTATCTTAAGCAGAATGTAAGGAATCTTTGATTGTCTGAATAATATTACACATGGTTGCTTAGACATAAATCCCATTGAACTTAATGTAGCTTATTTCCAAGTGATGATAGGACTGCAGCCAACAATAAATAAAGTGGACTCAGAGGATTATACAGCTTCCTTGCAAGATTAAAAACATTGTCTTCAGTGTAATGATGCTACGATTGAAGCACTATAAATTTAAAAACATTATTTTCTAATCTAACATTTCTATCCACTAAATCAGTTTTCCATTGTGCCATAACTATATCTTTCAGTGCCCAATGTTATTTCAATCAATCAGAATAGAACTGGAAGGGACCTTGGAGGTCTTCTAGTCCAACTCTCCTGTTCAAGCAGGAGACCCTATGCCATTTCAGACAGGTGGCTGTCCCGAATTGTCCAGAATTTATTAGAGAATTTAAATTCTCTTTTAAAAACATGCATGTGTGTGTGTTGTGTGTGTGTGTGTGTGTTAAGTAAAAAGATCTACGCTATTATTTTAGAAATGGTAGCAGCTATTAGATAAATGAAATGGGCAGAAATCAGCATTTTATGAATCTTTAAATGTTTTAGGAGTTGGGATTCTTTCTTCTTCTTTTCCTACAGCTACATGGATAAAGACTTCATCATCAAATTTAGATGTCCTCACAACTAACATGGAAAAAGGTGCTAAAATGTCCAAAGTCAGTCAAGGAAATTTTTCATAAAACAGAAAAAAGGATAATAAATATTATCTATACCCTGAATATATATTTTAATTCTCAATTGAGAAGTTCATCCCCATAAATGAATTGTCCCATCTATATGATATATAGTTAAAAACTCTACTTGATTGGGTTTTTTAATAAAAGATAAATGGCAAATAATCTTACCAGAATCTTAACAAAAAGAAAATCAATCTTATGTTGCTGTTCTAATTTACTTCTGCATTTTTATATAAAATAGGAATTACATTGTCTGAAATGACTCCAGTTGTGTTCTAACACATCTTATCTAGGAGGAAAGACGTTTTAAAGCATGTGAAGTCCTGCAGCTCCAAAAAGTAATCACACACATATAACATACTGAAGGGCCTGGAATGTTAAAACTATAATAAAATACAGAGTTGGACTTTTAACTTCCAGCAACATCACAGAGGTCAACATGTTCAGTGATTTAAATATGAACTTATCACAGTAAATAAAATACTCCAAGACTTGCAGAATATAAAACTATCATCCCATAGTGTTCTGGTCTTCTCCCATGCATGCTGCAATCCTGAATTCACAAAAGAATAATTCTAATGGGATATGTTGAAACCTCCTTAACAAAAGATAATAGCTGGATCAGATTATGATTGAACTTCCCCAGATACTTTCTTAAAATAGCCAACTCAGGTCCCATAAGAAAGGCATAATAGAAGTATTCTAATCGTATTCATTTACATTAGTAAATAAGTGTATCAGTACACTTCCTAGGAAATAATTTGTGGGTAACATTTAATTAGTGTGGTTAAAAGGCATACTAATTGGATGCAGCAGATTTCTCTCAATTGCTCTATAGTTACTATTGCCTCTATCAAAAATGATAAAATGTCAAAGTAAAGTGGTGAATCATAAGGCTGTGTTTGTGTTCCTGACTCTGAATTTCTAGGATGACTTTGACCAGATGAAATCAATAGATCTAAGTTTTTGTGAGAAAAGAATAGGTGTCTTCTATACTGGTATAGAAATAAGATGTATAAGTCATATATGGCATTTTAAAAAATAATGCCAAAATTGGAAAAGTAGTGATTCCCCCCACTCCACCAATTACATAACATGGTAGCAATTCTCTTGCAGTTTCTACAGAAAATCTGAATATAAATGTTTCAAATGGGTCTAGATTACAGAGTTATCAAGACATAAGTGTAGTTACAATATGGAAGCTTAACACTGAACTGTTATTGAAACCTATTTTGTGGAATTTTGTATATGATATTCCTGTAGTTCATAAATATTGCACAGATGGTTATTTCCATAATGCATACTTGAAAAACATGTCATAAAATGTTTGAAAGCATCCAAACAAACATAACAAATTTCATAGAAATTTCCATTCTGGCTATGGATTTCCACTAATTACTTGAACAGCAAAATGCCCAGAGTTGCTGGGAGTCAGGTTGCATATAAATATAAAAACAACAATAACAACTACAGAGTATTCTTTTCCATATATTCTACAATTTTGTAACTTGTGTAAAATATTAAATATTACTTCAATACATAAAAATATTATTTAGCTTACTTTTTAAGATGTTTGGACTGTAAAACAAGGATAAAAATTCATAAAATTCATTAAGATATAAGGTAAAGAAAAATCTATAAGTCGTATCATTGATGCTTAATTTGAACCATCAGGATTCCATTCAGCTCCTGGAAATTTTGGGTATAACTCCCAGAAAACTCCGAAGATTAAGCAATTATAACTCTTCAAGTACTAAAAAAGAAAAAAAATGTTTAGCACGACTGAGGAGCACTTACATTATCTGTATTTACTAATTAAGTGTGTACCACATGAAATTACATTTGCGTCTTTGCCCACCCACTTGTTTTTGAAGAGTTGCTTTTTCACTAAAAAATATACGTTTATCCCAAATAACTGTAACGATGAATATCCTTTGAAGTATCCTTCTCTTTGTACTTGTATTTATTCATCTATATTCTTATAACCGTACTTTACTTATAATTCTTGACCATATCTCTCAAACCATTCCTCTTTCAATCCATCCTCATTAAGCTTTTTGTCCTTATCTTCAAAGCTTAAAGGGTTCTCTATGCCTTACCTGCGTGTACTTTCATCCTGCCCCATCCAGGTTCACTATCCTGAGTCGTACAAGGTTTGCCTGCTCTATAAAACAATTCTAGTTCCTTTGCTGATCCGTGTTTGTAGCATTCCCTCCAAGATTGTAACAATTCAGATTTTATAATTTTAACACACCTTTCAAAACTAATATTTCCTGACTACCCTTGGAGTATTGTTCTATTTTCCTTATTGTACCCCAATGAATATACAATAAGAAAATAGCAACTCGCTTTTCCTTTGCTTACATATGCTGTATGTATTTATATTTATGTCATATGAGGACATCTCTCTGTTGTTTCTGCATCTATTTTAGACTGTAAATGGTCCTCCAGATAGAAAAGCATAACATCAGATCTTTGAAAATGTAATGTACTTTGAGGGGATAGTAACAAAATTAATAAAAAAACAATGTCTTTACTAAATATGAAACTGGAATGCTGCTAGTGTTAAAATATAGATCTAGGAATGACGAAATAGTTTGGAAATAGTTTGTGTTGAAAGAGAACATAAGACTTTGCTTTGTTTTATGAAGAATCATTTTCTTCATTTACTAGAATAGAGGCATTTTCTTCATGCATTCTTGGTTCAATTTTGGTTCAGTTTCCCAGAGAGGCATTTTAACAAATGAACAAATCCTTCTGCAGACTCAGACCTTGAACTTTTCTTCCCTTCTTTGTCTTTTTTCCTACTCTTTCATTTTTAGTTTTGCTTTTTGGTAGCTGTTATTAAGGACTTGGAAGTATGTGTTTAGTGCCCATATCAGTTTATCATGACTGAATAAAGTTTTACATTTGGGTTTGCAAACTTTTGTAAATAGTTTTTCAGTCTAGCTAAAGGCACATTATTAGACCAAAATAACTGCCCACTGACATTTACTATGAAAGCTCCTTCCCATCAGAATAAAACGATATTTGTTATATAAGGTTGATTCTGCACTTGGTTGCTTAATAGGGCACTAGTGAAGCATGAATCTGTTTAGAATCACAAGTACTTTCTGACACAAATTATCTTTGTCATAATTTCAGATTTGCAGGGCTTGCTGTAGTGAACTGCTTACACATTTCACCGACAGCTGCTCAGGTATAGATATCTGAATAAAAAACATATCTGACAGGTCAATTTGAAGACTCACTTTCACCTTTAAAAACACTTAGCTAGCTCCTGCGTATAAATTAAATAACCAGTTCAAGAGGCCTAATACTTCCAAAAAGAATCAAGGGTTATGAAGTAATTTGGTTGCCTTTTTACCATCAAAATTTCATTGATATAGTACTAGTTCCCTTAAATATTGTTCTTTGTTATTAAGCCTTTATATTTGTGGATTCCAATGCTGGACGTAATTATTGCGAAGAGTATTTATTTTATATCCTGCTTATTTATTTACAAATAGCATTAAAGACAATAGACTTGGGATATCACTTATGATTTCCAGTAGGGTATGCAAGATTGTTCTCTGTGCTAGTCTTGAAGTACTCACTAAAAACAAATCTAATCATGAAGGACAGGAACATAGGAACATACCTGTCAATTGAGGACTGTTACTATTATTAAGTCACCTGTCTGGCGTACTTCAGATGTCTTGTATACATTAAATTTATAGGCTGGTTCACAAATATTAAACCATTGTTTCAAGCTTTGATGAGTAGACTTCAATATCCATTCACACAATGTGCTAAGCATAAACCACACTGCTAATGTGTTCTGGTAAGCCAATAGCAAACAAACCATGTTATGGATTAGGGTGATATTTGAGGAATAATATATTCTATTAAGGTTTAACTTTGCCCAGTCTAATGTCTCTACAGAGCAGGAGAAGTAATAAGAAATATATTCTTATTACTACAAGTGCAAATTGTGTTTCTGGCAGCATAAAGATATTGGCACAGTTACATCCCATGGCATGCCTGCTTCCGAGTCAGTTTGCACTGAAAAGCACATTCACATGTTAAAAGGTAAATACAAGGAAGAATTCTTCACCTGTTAGGATGGGAGCTAATTTCTTATTGCATGAGACTGATTTTTCAGGACAAAACTTGTGAACAAATCCTCAGGGACCATAGGAAAGATTCAATTCCTGGGTAAAGGCATTGCTTTGAATGGATCCTATAGATTTAATCTATAAAACAGGTTGTCATTCTAATGCATTTATACATGTTCAGTACACATACACACACATGTATGCGTGTATGCATGCTGAACATGTGTGTGTATAAAGGGGGGAGGGGAAGAAATCTCGTGACGGAGCAAATTTATGATGTGGCGTTCGCCAGAAAACTAGCTCATTAGCTCAAGCCTAAGAGGCCACCCGTCCCATCAGTGTCAAGCATTGCTCGCCCTCTGCACCTCCCCCGGCCACTGTAGTGTGTGTATGTCCCCCCCTCCACCCCGCTCAAAAAGAGTCAGCGCCGCGGATGGTTCCATAGACCTTATTGGCGGCTGCTGCACGATGTGCGCGCGCGCCTGCGTTTCTTCTGTAACGTGCGAGAGGAGCTGAACACCAGCCGGCCGGTCGCGCGCGGATTTCGTTCTACCCTCCTTAACCTGTCCCTCCTTGCTCTGCCTCCTGGGACTTTCCCAAGTCTCTCAGCCAGACCTTTTCAAAAGAATGTAGTTGCGCCGTTCAGGCGCGGCGGCCACGACCGACCTGCTCCGACTTCTTCCCTCGACGAGTTCTCTTCGGGAGTCCGGGGGTTGTTTTCCAACCCACGGACTCCGGGCTCGCGACAGAGCGCGGGACCACCAAGTGCCCAGGCAGCCGCGTCAAGCTTCAGGCGCTCCCAGAGACGCGCAGGCTCTGGGAGACTCTCTGCTTACAGAGCCGCCGCCGAAGTATACACAACGGTGCCTGCAGGCGCCCGGAAGCCGAAGCTGCGCGGAGCTGAAAAGTCAGCTCTTGGTTCGTCTTCCTCCTCCGTGCCAAGATCCCTTTCGCCTCGGATTCTTCTTTCTCTCGGGAGCGCCTGAGCCGTCGAGGCAAAAATGGGCGCCGGCGAAGGAAGGAGCGGACCCTTTAAGTCAAGAGGGGCTGAGTGGGAGGAGAGTTTGTGGCGCGGCGAGTTTGAGGGAGCGCATAAGTAGCCTGTGGAGAGCGAGGAGGGGGCCAACCGGAGCTCTTGCCTCTTTTCGCTGTGCCCGCACGAGATCCTCTCCTTCCAGCGCCGACCGGGAAACGGCGCCCAGACCTGCCTGGAAGAGAACGCCCGGCGCCTGAAGCCCTCGCTGCCCAATCCCTTCTCGGTGGCTCCTCCTCCCGCCTTCCTCCCACATGGGGCGCGGGGAGCTTTCCTTCGGCCGCCGGGGCTGCTCTTAGGGAGTGCGAAGGGTTCCTCGCAAAGTGACACCCGCAGCGGCTGCGGCAGAAGGAGGCGGGGAAGCAGCAAGAAGAAAAGCGGAGGGCTTTTTCCTCTGCTAGGTGCTTCCCCGGTCTTTCCCTCCGTTCCCCGTTCCTCCCGGCGGTCTCTGATCCGTTACTGGCCCCGGCGGGGGACGGCAGCAACCCTGCGGGAGGAGCCAAGGGTGGCGCTACTTTGATGTTCCTGGCCGAGAAGCGTCAGAAGAGCTGATCCTTCGTGCTCAGGATGATCGAGGAGGACGCTGCTCTGAGGAACGGCGGCAGGGGGCTCTCCGGCCAGTGGGCAGACGCGGCGGCCGCTCGACCCCGCACCACCGAGCGACACATAACGGTGCACAAGCGCCTGGTGATGGGCTTCGCCATCTCCATCCTGGCTCTGCTGGTGGTCACCATGATCGCCGTGCTGCTCAGCGTGCGGATCGAGGAGTGCAGCAGCGGCACCGCGTCTGACGGCCCAGGAGGCAGGGCGGGCAACCGGAGTGTCCCGGCGGCGGCTGCCGCCGCTGCCGCCGCAGCCCCCGCAGGAAGTGCCCGCCTGAACCAGAACAGCGCCGGGGAAACTCCTGGAAGTGCAGGGGAAGAGACAGTGGCGTTGGAAGCTGCTAGAGGGGAAGAGGAGGAGGAGGAATGGCCGAGGCGGCGGGAGCAGCAGCCCTGGACCCAGCTGCGCCTTCCCGGACACCTGCGCCCCCTCCACTACAACCTGATGCTGAGCGTCTTCATGGAGAACTTCACCTTCAGCGGCGAGGTCAACGTGCAAGTCGAGTGTCTCAACGCCACCCGTTACATCGTTCTCCACGCCCACCGCATGCACATCGAAGCAGTCCGCGTGGCTGAGGACCGGCTGGCCGGTGCCTTGAACGTCTCCGGCTTCTTCCTTTACCCACAGACCCAGGTCTTCGTGATAGTCCTCAATCGGAGCTTAGAGGAACAGAGAAGTTACAACCTTAAGATCCTCTACAACGCTCCGATCGAGAACGAGCTTCTGGGATTTTTCCGCAGCTCTTATGTCCTCTACGGGGAAAGAAGGTATCGATCTCCTTTCCATGCTTGCCCTTCCTTTATCCTCTTCCCGTTTTTTATTGTGTAAAGTCGGAATAACAAGTGCCTCCTGAAAATTCCTGCGTAAGGGCACCATTTCTATTAATAGAGTCATGTTAACCAAAAGGTTTAACTTCCCAGCACCCCCCCCCCAACTTTTTTTAAAAAAGTTAACATTTTATGTTAGGACATAAGAGACTTTATAAGCATCATGAATACATCTGTGTGTCAGAAATGGATATGTTTGGAGTTAAATCCACTTGAATTAAACTTCTGCAAAAGTTTTCATGTGACCTTGCTTAAACTCTATCCTGTACCTCCAGCAAAGTTCACATTTTACTGAGGCAGGATCTGATCAATTAAATTTGTAATTTAACTGTCCTTCCATTTGCAACATGTACTGGCTTAAAGTGTGTATAAACTTTCCTGTTCAAAGAGAACCAGATAAAAGAAGCAGAATACAGCAATTATAGAGTATTTTAAGGCTGAAGTTCTTAGAACAACACATTTCTTTTATGATGCTTTAATTCTCAAACGCAGTTAAGAGAGAAGATCTCTTACTATAGCAAAATAATTTTATTCTGCTATACCTGTGTCTGCACAATGGGGTCTCCCTGCATTTATTCTTGGTTTCATTTCACAAAAAGGCAAATCTGTGTGGCAGTCCTAGGAAAAAGGGGAACAATTCATTGTATTTCATTAGTCTTTTTTCAACTGTATCCTTGATAGGGAAGTGGATTTTACTACTCATAGGTTGTAACAGTAATTGACCCTGGGATGTTAGCAGAATAATTTTCAAGTTTTATTCAAGTCTGTAAGAGAGCTGTATTTGACTAGCCACTATTTCCTACATCTCAACATAAGGTCCAAGACGGGATAGGCAATCTGGTGTCTTCCCAATGTTGTGGTTTTTCACCTCACTGATTGAATTGCCAATAAAAAGTATCTGAAGGCAGCAAATTGGTTACTCTTGCTGTAAGAGAAATTAGCCAATTCTTTTTAACTTGGCACTGTTCCATATGCATTTGTTTACATCAACAAGCATAACAACTGAGATAAAAGGAATTTTTTAGAAAGAATTTAAAGAAACCTATCTTACTGAGAAAGTTTTAAAGAGTACCACCAGTACATCGTCTACCTAGCTACAGTATATTAAGGAAATATTTTGTTGTGTATTCAAGTGAGCTGCAAAGGACTTTAGGACTAAACTTGTTGAGAATTTTGGAGCAAGTTTGTATAAATATTTTACAGTTGGGGTGGTGGTTTAGATCTGCTTGATAGTAAACATGGATTTGTCGAGAGAACAGAAACAATGAAGGGAAAGTTTCAGAAGTAGAATTTCAAATAGAGAAAATCACTCCTTTCCTTGTTATGATTTTAGACCATCCATTCCAAGTATACTGTGCAGTTGAGAAGAAAGTCTTGGGCTTCTTTACTGATCATTCTTAAATAGTTAACTTCCCTTTTTAATCACATTATATAGACCAAGTCTGTTAAGACCAGGTTTAGGTTTTTTATACAGCAAATCAAAGATCAAAGCCCAGCCTAATTCCTTAAAAAAAGCTTTAGGTTAAGGAAAGCAGAATTAAATTTATGATAACTTCGTTATCAGAAATATAGAATGAATTTATTTTCATACTGAACATGACTAAAAATCCAACGATCTTATTCTGTACACCTCATAATTTCTTTGAGAGTTTCTCTTGAACAACTAGTTTATTTAAGTCATTGCCATCCAAAAAATGAGAGTGCCTTCACCTTAATTATGCCAATATTCTGTACCTGATACTACTAGTATAACTTTCCTCAAAAGGTGTGAAATGGTTTTTCAGCATAATGGTCCATTAAAAGGATACTACCTCTAAACTCCTTGCAGCAAGTATGTGCAGGATCATAGACTTCTATTTTCATTGCTTTAATAAATGACTTTCTACTGAAGATATGCTTTCTAATGCATCTCCACAGAGAAATGTAGTGTGAGGCAAATTTGCTTTCTAAGCCATATAATAATAATTTCTTAAATTTGTTTGCCACCAAACTCTCTGGAAGTGGACTCTGGAAGCTACAACTATGAAAACAAGAAATTACAATAAAACATTAAAAAAATATGGCAAGTACGAAGAAGTAATTGAAAGGCTGTGGCAAAGTTATAAGTAATGCACATGCAATAATGTAACAATTACAAAGAAGTCTTAGTATATGTACACACAGAAGAAATAATACCAATAGTTTTTGATATCTAGTCATATAGTTATTTACTGATTATACATTTATGTTGCAGTCTTGTACCCACCTGTCTGCAAATAATCTTCAGTGAATACTGTGGCATTTTCTTCTGAGTAGAGTGCCATAGAATCGTTCAGTTATCAACGGATTGCACAAAACAAAATTTTAAATTGCTGTAAATTGGTCCAGCTCTATTTAAGTCAACAGATCAATACCTAATCTCACATAGAGAGGTTCAAGCATTTTGTACTTTTCTGAGAGAGAAGTAAAGTATTTTTGAAATATAGACCACATTGAATTTTTTAATGTTTTCTTTTTTGAAATATCAGAAGTTTATTTGGCAATCATGATCTGGAACACATTTCTATGGAAAAATATGCCTGAAAGTTTGCCAACCCTATAACCATTGGAAACAGGATGACCTATAATTAAAATGATTTCAGAATTTTCGTGGGATTATGTAGCAGTTAAGAAAATTAGTAATCAGCATACAAAATATCAATTGACATTCTTTGCACAATAGCCTAATGATAAATAGCTAATCCCAAGCAGTTATATCCTTTGACTTATTTATATTTAATTGACTTTAGCAGACTTACATTTCCTTTATTTGTTCATTTATCCAAAGTTTAGTTATCATAAGTCTTCCATAGAAGTGATAAAGGTAGATAAAGGAAGATAGGGCTAATTTCTTGACTGTATCAACAAATACTATAAATATTCCTTAAATATTGCGGGGACTCTAAAAATACTAATTTTTCTGTTGAGGTAATTTAATCTTTGATGGTTTAAAGTAAAATCAAAACACCATAATAAAAGTTTTAGTTGTCATTGTATTGGTGACATAACAGTATTTTAAGGGACATCATATACAAATTATCCTAAAAGTGAACTGGATATCTGATTTTATATATAATAGAATAAAACAATTCCTTCAATCCTAATAGCTTTGTTACTTTTCAAAACAAATTTCTAGACAGGATGTTTTAGGAAACATGTCTGTCTTTTTAATAGAAAAGGTAGAATTAAAATAGGTACAAATTACTGTCATCTGTATTCAAGGATGCCATCCTGTAAGTTTTTCTTTCCCATAATTACACATTTGAGATATAATCCTTTCATCAATTACCACATGTGTGTAAAAATGAAGTTTAAACAAAGCATATACAGGATCACAGATTTCTATTTGCATTGTTTTAATAAATGACGATAGTCAAGATATGTTTTCTAATATATTAAAACCACTATGTTATTAAGTACCCCACAAGGCCCACTAGCTATGAATACATTTTAATCCTCTAATTCATCTTTACTTTCAACAAGTATCAGAATATATAAATAAGCTTTTACTGCATTTCATTTATATTCAGCACATAGAGCACAATGTGTTAGAACATAATTATTTATGCTTCGTGAAGTTAATACAAAGATAAGATTGATCTCTCACACATATAATTTAGTAATTGATGGCTAAGAATGGCATTTGTAAGTCTTTCATGAGGCAGAAATTATCACCAGGTCAACATCAGTTTCATCTATAAATAATTTTTTAAAAACAACTTTTCAATTTGGTCCTTCTGATACTTATTACGAATCTAAAGAATGCCCGCATCAGTTCATCCATTCTAACTGAAAATTTAGTCCTGCAATTAATTTTGCTCCAGATATTCTGGCATTAGTGGTTTGGAATGACATAGAACAACCAGTTGTCACAAACCTGGTGGGTGAGCTTTGGACGTGTCTTTATTTGAAATAATTATATCATTAACCATTTTTAGAATGTGTATTTTCAACTATCATATATGTTTCAACATATCACAATCAATTTTTTAAAGTCAATGTAATGATTCCAGCTTTTATTGTAAGAATTTTAATAAATTGAAGTTATTGTCATTGTACATATATACACAGTATACCCATACAATGAAATTCACTTAACACCCAAATACCAGGTCCAACACACATAACAATTCCCAAACACACTCCCACCCACCACAATTCTCCACCCCTAAACCACCCAAACATCCACACAACAGACCAAGTAATACTGTCCAACAGCTCACTGATGGTGGCCCTTTAGTTCATTGTTGAGTGCAATTATAGCTCTGGGATAAAAACTATTCAGAAAACGCGTGGTCCGAGTTTTAATTAAGTTTTTAAAGAGGGTTTTGAGATTATGCCATGTTCAAGAACGAAATACTTGAAAATATTACTCAATTAAAATATAAGAAAGTTGATTTTTTAAAAAAAGTAATCTGGGAACATGAGGCATTAATAAGAAAACAAGTGGGATTTAGTATTTATTTAAACATCTAATAATTTAGAACATTGAATTTTCAGTGAAATGATTACAGAAAACTAAATATTGCAGAAATCACAATCACACTTTTAAAAGTGTCATTTTAATAGTTACATGCATTTATTTGAAAAATAGTATTAGTAATATTTGGTCTTTGAAGACTATAGAAAATATTGTCAGACATATACAACAATATAAATTAAAATCATGTTCTGCCTAAAAATATGAAATCATAAATCTCATAAACCATAAATGCAAATGTATGGTTAAAAAAAATTGAACAAAATTTCAAAACTTCCATCAGCTTTGTAGCTCTATTATACAGAGTTTCATTAGTTTTTCTTTCTAGATGAAAAAGAAATACAAATATTATACAGAAATAAAATGGAGGTTTAAAATCCTTCAACTCAGTAAAACAAGCAGTCAGTGTCTTAGCCTATTGTTACAATATGAGTAATAAATGTAATGTATGTGCAGGCATGTCAACATATAGAATGTGGATTAATTTTCAATAATTTTTAAACTTTCACCACCCTTCTATCATTTAATAAGTATTTTTCCATTGGAATTAGATAAAGCCAAGTACAAACAAAACACTATACTGGTAGTATGGCCATGGGATTCCATGTTGTCTCTTCACTTTTTCTTTGCAAATCTGAAAAGGAAATTACTTTTACTTCTGATGTTGACTAATTTGCAATATCCCATTGCAACAAACCTAGCAAATTGTGTCTTATTTTAGTTAACAAACCTGGCTCTGAAAGCAATCTTTGTTTTTGTTTGTTTTGTAATTTGGAACTGCAATATATTCAAAACCAAAAGTAGAGGTTTTCAGTCCTTTTTTAAAAATGTGCAAATAAAGAGGGAAAAGGTAGTCCAAAATTTGCTGTACGTAATGCTTTTTGAACTAAGCCAATGATTTTATATATATCTGATACAGTTTTTCTTGGTATTTCTATTTGATAAATGCTACACATAGTAAAATATGATATTACTAATGGGGCAAGATTGGCATCTAGCAAATACCTTAAATTTCTAATATCACTGATACTTTGCTTATAAAAACAACAGTTTCCAAAGTATTCTTATGAGAACCAGTTTGGTATAGTGGTTAAGGCATCAGGCTAGAAACCAGGAGACCATGAGATCTAGTCCAGTCTTAACCACAAAGCCAACTGTGTGACCTTGGGCCAATCACACACACTCAATTCTAGGAAACAGGCAATGGCAAACCATTAATGAAATCTTGCCAGGTAAACTGCAGGGACTTGTCCAGACAGTTGTCAGAGGTCAACACTGAATTGAAGGTGTCAAGTATTCTTAGATGAGAAAACACTATACAGCATGATGAAGTCAGAGTGCATTATTACTTTCTTACAAAGTTCCTAAAAGGTCCTTATATCATTAATATAATTGTAAACTATAGTTAACTTGTTTTTATTTTTTCCTGGATTTATTCCTGTCTAAGATTCTGCTATAGGTTGCAGCACTTAGTAAGATACCCCAAAGGTTTTTAAAAACCATATTGATAGAACTATCAGATAAATACTTTCTCTAGTGTTAAATGTAATTTTGGTTTTATGTTGCATATAACTACTCTTTCAAACACTTTTTCAAATTCAACAAAACATGTTTTTTTATAAAAATCTATAGATACAGATATGGCTATAATAATTCTAGTTATACATAATGAAAGGTCATTCAAAACCAAATAATTTTAGTCCAAAAGGAAAAAAAATGTTGACAAAGCTTCACAATGACTGTTGCTCTTTTTTTCTCCTTGCAAATTTCCTGTAAGTTGATCCTTTTTTTTTTTTAAATGAACCAAGTGTTGCTGCATTGGGTGCAACAGGGAGTTGACCGACAGGAATTGACTGACCATTGCCTGAGTCTGATATTGTGGGCAGAGGAAGTGTGAGCGAATGGCCCAAAGTCACTCAGCTGATCTAAGGCAGGATTAGAATTCACATGCTTCTGGTTTCTAGCCTAGTGTCTTAACTAGTAATCCAAACTTGCCCTCTTTTGCATTGCAATATTTTTTTTTGCATCCAGTTCTGAATAAAAACATTTTTTTTCCTTCCAGGTTTCTTGCAGTTACACAGTTTTCTCCTACACATGCCAGAAAAGCCTTTCCTTGCTTTGATGAGCCTATCTACAAGGCCACATTTAAAATCAGCATCAAGCATCAAGCAACTTATTTATCTTTGTCCAATATGCCAGTGGAAACTTCTGTTTCTGAAGAAGATGGATGGGTTACCGATCACTTTTCACAGACTCCACTCATGTCCACATATTACTTAGCTTGGGCTGTTTGCAATTTTACATACCGTGAGACTACCACAAACAATGGTGTTGTAGTAAGTATTGCTCAGTCTACTTTCATTGGGAAACGTTTGAGAATGAACATGACATGTTCAGATAAAAGTGTTTAGTTATTCAGCAATGTCTCTTTGGCTAATGACCATTTCTGTTTAATTTATAGACATCCAATTAGCACCTTATACCGACAGTCTGAAATACCTGCTTAATCTTTTAGAGTCAGAAAAGAGAATATAGGATTGAGTTGTTGAATCAGCTTTAAAGATTTGTTGCATCTTTTAATATAGATAGAAAATTCTTTTATTTATTTGCATTTATTTATTTAATTTATAATTTGTGGCAATCTGGCAGTTGTCAGCAGCTAGCATCATTTATAAAAATTAGTCAAAGGAACTGTTATTATTAAAAGCTTAGGTATCCTTCATCCTTCTTTGCTAACTTTATTTATTTTCAAATTTTGTATGCCATCTTTCAAAATAAGGTTTTGTCATGGAAGTGTAGTTAGTAATGAAGGGTCCCTCCACGTTCTTAAGTACCATAGTACCTTGGTACTTGTCATTAATTGGTTCTGGAAGTGTGATGAGTAACTAAAATGACAAGTACCAAACAATTTTTTCCCATAAGGAATAATGTAGTGAGTCAACAAGTTTTAGCTTGTGCATTGAGTACCAAACAAGTACCGGGACAAATTTTTCACATCAAGTGCCAAATTTGATCAATTTTAAAGCATTTGAGTACTAAGGTACCACTGTAAACTGTGATTTTAAATATATTTCTGACATTGTTTGAATTATTGTATGGTTTGGGATTCAAATATCACCCTACTGAAGGCTGATATTTGTTCTTAAGATCAAAAGTGGAACTAACTACAATTTCTGTGAAGTATTCTGGAGTCATCAAATGCTTTGTGGTCATCTAATTAAGCCAGTCTATTTTCTGAATAAAGGACTTTAATATTTGAAGCTGATTGTGAAGAAGAAGCATCAACATAGTTGTCTCAATAAGAAATTAGCTATTGCTAGACTTGAGCACCTAAATTTATTTTATGTTCAAATTATTATCTTGAAAAATTCTACTATTAACATAATTAGCATTTCTATCCCAGGATGAGATTTTAATAATTTTGCCACCAAACCTTTCTATGGCTCCATTCTATTATGTCTATAGACATACATTTAGCATGAATACAAGATTTCTGATTGGATTTTCAGCCATATTTTTACATCATTGATGAGTAGGTTTTATAATGTATTTTATAATGTACTAGCTGGATACCTGTGCTTTGCTATGAAACTATGTGATTGGGCTTGATAAATGGAACTAAACAGTTCTGGATTAATGCCTGGGTAGATTCCACAACAGATGTCCCTTTCATTGTCATCATCACTAACAAAGTATATCTGGAGAAATGAAGGCTGCTGCTGAGGCCCCGCCATGATACTTCCTATCCTGTGGTAGACCTGCCCTTGCACTTTGAATGTTGGCATAAAATTTCCCTCCTTCATCTCTCTGGCTCCAAAAGATGTCATTTGGAAGCATCCGTTGTACTTCTGGGCAGCAGAAAGAAAGTGGTCTGCCATTGGATGCTGGTGGGTGAGAAGGCTGTGTAAGGGTTCAGGGTAGGGCACAAGAGGAGGGAGATGGACTTTACCGCCACTGCAGCATATCCCGGGAGTCTCATCCTGCCACTTCAGGACATGGCACCAGGCACAAGGTAACCGAGGTCTGAGGTCAACAACCTTTTTCCTGGAGTAATCAATCTGAGGTTCATATTTAAAACCAGACAAATACTTATTAGTCCAAGGCATTTATCTGATTTGTGATACCTTTTCATTGTATTTAGCTGTAGCTGCCTGATTAACATAGGGGTTATTAGATGCATACTTTTTTACAGCCTCTCTATTGACTTCGAGATGACTTTGATGATACTTTTTTGCAGCTTCCTTTACTTGTGTTTTCCTAATCACATCTGTAAATCTTTTCCTGCATTTTCCCCTCTTTTCCCTTTAACTGGTGTTACAGTAGAAGGTACAGATTTGTCTGAACTGAGGAGGTCAGTGTAAGAAATGATTTGGGGCTGGGACACTATGCAGGAAAAATTTGGTTCACAATCCATTGGCTCAGTGGTGGTCAGTGATTGAAACTCATAAGGGGATATCTCTCCCGCCGCCTTGAATTTGGAAGCAGTTCCATAGGTGGAAGGCGTAGACATTTTGGTGAGGTAGCGATGTTTAGTACAGACCACTCATGAGTGAAGGAGTGGAACATCTGCCAGTTTGAACTGAAGTAACGGAATGTGACACAACTGGCAGTTGGAACAGAGTTCTTTTCAGGTGGGGAGGGGGAGTAGAATGTCTAGCTCCTTATCATCAGAGCATATTAATATAAGGCAACTGGTGTTCTGTCCCCGTACAACACACGCACCCCCACAGATGGCCCGGAGTTAATAAGCCACACGACAAAACTCTTTGAAGATAAAGCTGGCAGCAACCCAGTGGCTAGCTGCCAATTCAGACTTTACTCACACAAAACAAAGATTAGACTGCAAGCATTCCGATAAAACAGGCAGAGTTGCAACAATACAAGGATTAATCCAAATGCAGTCCGATAAAGCAGGCAAAGTCCAGTAACGCAGAGATCATGGATTATTTCCAGTTTTTGCTCGTCACAAACTGAACTGGCCACCACACCCACATTTATACCCTGTGGGGTGCGGTCCAGTGACTCAGCTAATCTCTGGCACGCCTTCCCCTCTGCTGCGCACGCTTCTCCCTGCGCCTCTGCCGAGGGTCCAGGCAGCACTTATCTTCTTAATCGCTGTCCACCTGTGGCTGTGGGGATGTGCTTGGCTCTGAGCCTATCATTGGCCTTCGGTGTCCTCCGGAGGCATTGCCAGAGAGAAGGGTCCTGGAGAGGGAGGTCTTGCCAACTCCTCTCCCTCACTCTCAGAGTCTGCATCTGTCTATAGCCCAGGCTCAGGCAATGGAGCCACAACAACTGGCAGTTGGGACAGAGTTCCCTTCAGGTGGGGAGGGGGAGTAGAATGTCTAACTCCTTAGGATCAGAATATGTGAATATAATACTGTATATGAAATACTAATGATCTGATGGTCATTTCTAAAAATCCTTTCTTAGTGAGCACCTAGAAGCCAAGAGGAACATACGTGCCAAATTTCAAGTTTGTAGGCTTTACCATTCTGGAGATTTCGTGATGAGTGAGTGGTATTTGGCTTTTATATATAGAGATAATGCATACACATGTTTGTGGGGAAGTATTTCATTTATATTTACCATATTTTTCAGAGTATAAGATGCTCCAGAGTATAAGACGCACGTTAGTTTTTGGGCAAGAAAACACGAAAAAAAAATTTCTTCCTCTGCCTACCAGCATCCATCGGTATTCATCTGGTTAGCGTCCTTGCAGCAAACAGCAAACAGCCTGGTCAGCTTCAGCACATTATCGCAGCCTGATTCAGCAGGAGAAGCTAATTGGCAGTTGGATCGGCCTCCTAGAATATCACCAATCAGCTGTTCCAGGCTGCGGGGATCACCACAGCCCATCGCCGCCTCCGCGCATCACATTTTCGGTCTCCACATGCCCCATTTTTGGCCTTTATGTGTTGCGTTTTCAGCTGGTTCCAGATGGTGGGGATTGGCGGTGGTGGCAGCAATCCATGCCTCCTGGAATTGGTCAAAAAGTGACGCACGAAGGCCAAAAACAGGGTGTGTGGAGGCCAAAAACGCAATGTGTGGAGGCCAAAACCATGATGCACGGAGGTGGTGATCAGCGGCGATGTGCTGTGGCAATCCCTGCAGCCTGGAACAGGTCTAAAATGGAGTGTGCGGAGGCCAAAAACACACTGTGTGGAGGCTGAAAACGGCCGAAGGGTGGGGGCCGGTGGGTGGGCGGGGCTTTAGCAACATTCGCTGTATAACATGCACAGACATTTCCACCCACTTTTTTTGGGGGGGGAGTGCGTCTTATACTCCAAAAAATACGGTATATTGTACCTCATCCATTTGACTTTTGCATCATAGCCTTCACTTGGTATTCCAGTTGAAGGATATATTCACATGTAGTTTATGGTACTTGGCAGAAAACTACACACTTAATGTATTAATGGAGGTGTACTGACGACAGTTTTCTTTTGTGAAAAATATCATATATGTAACTATGTACTAAACCAAAATATATACAAAAATTTTGCCTGCTAAATAGATGATTTAAAACAAAACTTCCTGCCAATTCACATTCCTGTTGAAAGTCAAATGGGAAAAATGTTCTTTTGTTTAGTCCAAATTGTGGTAGTAATAAAATTGTAAATTAAAGACTACGTCAGAGGGGTTTCTCATCTGTTTAAATTTTTACTAGGATATGTAAAATATTCTGTGTACAAACAAATATTTGCATTAAACAGCTGTTTTCATGTGATCTGTACTGAATCAAAGCACATATTTAGTCCATGCACCGAGAACAGCATACTTCATTGATTTTTTCCCATCTACCCAATGTTCTCTCATCCACTATTACTGTCTTGATGTGGACATTAATCATATGCTTCATTCCCAAATCTTCCCCAAATCATCCTTTACCTTCTCCCTCAGTTGCCACCACTAGTATTATAGCACAAACATATCTCACTGGCTGACCTGTCCGCCTTCTACTCATTCTAGCACCTTCCTTCCCTCCTGCATGATTACAAGGGAATGTTGGCTACATTCCACAGTATATTCTCCATTTAATTCAGAGATCAAGAAAACTCAAAAGGCTTGGCTTGTATTCTACACGTTGAATGTAGATAGGCTGAGGAATATGCTGTGGTGGGATATCTGGGAGGCAGCTAAAGGGAAGTAGGAAAGAGGAGGCACTGCAAAGGTGTGGAGTCGTGGTTGGGCCATTGGAGTAAGTCACAGTGGGAGCTTCTAAGGGGAAGAGGGGTGAGTGGGGCAATGCACATCAGCCTTCCATCACTTGATCCACTGAGATTTGATTTCACCTGAAATCCACAACAATCAAACAATTGAAATATGGTATTGT